TAGTACCTCAGCGACAAAGCTCTGCTGCTCACGTTTTTTTAATTCGTTCCAATGTGCGAAAGTTTTACGTGTCTAATCGTACAATTAACGAATCGGAGGCAGTGAAGACTTTATAAGTAATGCTTTTATTCATAAAGTTACAAATCGCATCTAAAATACAGAGTAATATACTATGGGTTGACTACATGAGTTCACTCCAGGTCTCCTGCAGTAAAGAGTATGACATCAAGAGAATTAACTACATGAGTGATTAGTCCAGAGAAGGATTGGGTTTATATTCCAAATAATATCAAGCGGTGAAGGGAAGAGTGGGAGAAGTCGGAAGAGGACGGCAAAGGAAGTTATCAGTAGTTAATATTCTTAAGATATCTGTGTGAAAGTGCCCTTTGGCTGAAATCAGTTATTGTTTAGTATTGATATTGACAGAAAGGGGCCTTTTTCTGCAATCTATTATTGTCCCCCAATATCTGTTGTTGATAAAGGGTCTTAGTGTGTCCCGTCAGTACATTCTAGATAACTATTTCTAAGCTATCAGAGATAGCTTGACCTGGCTATCTATGGCTTTGTGCTTTTATGTGAGAAACTAAAAGATAATAAATGATTCACCAAAAATAAAAGTTAAATTAATATTATTATTTTGTATGGATTAAGTCCATTCCGTAACTGTGCGTTAAGGATCACGTTTCCCAACCACGCATTTCTGAGTGAGCGAACCTGTTAGTATTATAAGGACTTTGATCTTTATTTTTACTTTCACTTAAGTATATATGTAATACATAGTAAGAGTAAGTATTGCGATCGTGAAAATTTTCGAATCTCAGTTTTCAACGGAAACACGTGTTTTGATGTCCCCTGTGTCCAAATAACCAAGTGTCGCAAAATGGTCAGTGTGTGTGTGTGTGTTAACAGTCTAGCTCATAAACAAAAAGTAGTACGAAACTGATATTAAGTATTTAAGGTTTGTATATGGGCCGGATGTGCTAGCAACTTTTTCGTTATAATCGGCTAACCGGAAGTGCCATTTTATATGAATGCTGAAACACATTTTGATCAAACTCGGTGTATCATTGTATAATTAAGTGGTCTTTAACATCGTTTAGGTCATATCTCCGTTGATGCCACTTTACAGGGCTTAAATGCCCAATGTTCATATATGTCTTCCTCTAAAGTACCTTTAATATGGTTTATTTTAAAAAATTGACCATTTCTCATTATTCAGAGTTACGAACAAATGCTACATATAACTTTTGAAAGAATTTGATAAGTTAATAAAGGGGAAAAAAAATAAAAATGCAGAAAAACCTGCGTTGCTATAGACTGTAGCGCCTAAACGAAGGTACTGATTTCAATGAAACTTCGCTATAGTCATTTTCTCGACACCCTTTAAATTTATCTATATAACATACTTCAACGAAAAGAAACTGGAAAAAAGAATAGTTCTTTAAAAGTTTATGGAATTTCCTGAAAAAAAAAAAAAAAAATCGATAAATTCGGAAATTAGGAGGAAAGATATGGTCTCTAGTTTTTTTTTGTAAAATAGACTTTTTACAATTTTAATGGTCTTAATGACTTGTTATCTGTAACCTTTAAGCTTTAGCCCCTTTTAAAATGCACTTCAAACAATTTTTTGATAGCCCAGCATTGCCAGAAAATAATTTTTATTCAAAGCAGAGCGGTAAGTGAAAGTTGTGTGTTGCGCGCACCAGATTTTTTTTTTACTTCCTTCTCAATGCATACAAATTTGTACGCCAGGGTGCAACAACACCTAACGCAGTTCGTTAAGTGTCTGCTAGGGTATAAAACGTACTCAACTTCTAGAAGTGCCCATTACACTCAGAGATCCGCAAGACCCAAAAGGTAGTTCCCTTTGCGCAATACTTTGTCCTTAATAATGTTGGGAAGCGTTTCCTTAAGTTACTTCCAATGTAATGCTGATATCTCCTTTCCTCCAATATGGTAACATAACCATATTTTATGAAAAAAAAAAATCTCTAAAAGTATCATTGTTCATTTAATTAAACTTCAAGGGTCACTTAAACTAAGGTGACCGGATTTTAACATTGGTAAAGCAGGACACCATTGATGGGAGAAGGAGGTTCTTGATTAAAAATTCGTTTCATTAAGACCCAACAATAGTCAAAATTTTACTATAATTAGTTATAATTTATTATAACTGTTGTTACAATAATTAATTTTACATAATGATAATCTGGTGCAAATGTTAATCAGGTGGCATACTATTCAGCTGAAATAAGGCTGAACTTGTGCAACAAATTAATAAAACAATGAGAACGAATAATTTGAAATTTATTTGACATCTAATTTATGACTTCAATAATAACTCAGTTTTTAAGACTTAAATGTTTTGTGGCAGCAGTTTGTACACAATCAATTAGCTATTTTTTAAAATGCTATAAAACTTATTGAAGGTGACAAAATTTCAATAATCAAAGTAGTAAATCAAATTAATTTCCTGATACCCAAGATTTAGCTTTTTATTTATCACTATATTTTTTAAAAAAAACAATACCTCATTAAAAAGGTAAATTTATGGTAGTTTATTATGATTAAGTCCACACAATGGTAGTCGAATTATAACAAATGATCAACAATGCGAACTTTGGCTAAGCAGTTCTCGATAATAAGATCTTAACAATTATTCGTTATTATTATCAATATTAAACCCGTATCCTGGTGAAATAGCTACATGGTCGCCGAAAACCGTATATTCGCTTATCGTTCTCCTGCCGTTCTCTAGTTTGATGTGCATTATTTCCAAAAATCAAGAGTTTTCAAAACTCCGCGGGACCTATTATCAATAATCGGGACTGCCTCGCAAAAGCAGGATGTCTAGTCACCTTAACATAAACACCATTTCATATATGTAGTTAGTTTCTTTCTTTTTCTTCCTAAGCAATTACCATTCTATTACGTTCTACATTTCTGATAACAAAGAAGCAGAAAAGTGCTGACCGGGGGTGCCCATCATCCTAAAGGTCCATGGCACATGAACTTCCCCCTCCCTCCCAAGAAAAGTTTTTACCCCTCTCTTATCAAAAATAATACAACCGAAAGTATAATTAGAAAAATTGTAGATCATATACAATTACACTTGCAGTGGTCTGGTCCATGTTTTTCCCCTTGTTCACTGGATTGAAACTTTTTCATTCCGAAAAATCAAATACCTGTCAAAATGCAACCCACTCAAAAATTCAAAATCCAGTAAAAATGCCACCCTTAAAAATTTTTATGGCTTAATTTGCGCGATGAAACCCTCTTCTGGGCACTCCTGGTGCCGGCCTTAGACATTCGGCGTCTCCAGGCATTGACGTCATCTCTCCCCCCAAGTGAAATAAAATTTAAATTTATTTCCAAGTGGTTTTATAATATCCAATATTTGAATTTTATTTCATTCAATATTTCTCTAACACAGTTGCTTTATTAATTGGCTAAAATTAATTATGTGAATACGTTTTATAATTTTTTTTTAATTTCTAACAAGTGGTGAACGCTCCTCATGATCGGCTTCTATACTCTCAGTAATAGGCTTCTGTACTCTTAGTAAGTGGGATAGCTAAAAACCAATGTTTTTCCACACCAAACAAGTAGGTCTTGAATGATCACTATAATGGATTATTTTAGGGATAGCTTTTTCTTATTGCTTAACTAATAAACTGGAAGGATATTTGCCAGTGAGACCAGCTAATCTACTCATTCTGTAAATTGTTACTTCAATAGTCGTGGCAAAATATGAATTTTCGCCAATTGTGTGTGTCTAATAGACTACCTTAATAATATTACATTAGTTGGCCCGTGCGAATAATTCGCAAACAATTTTGTTAAGTATAGGATTAGCAAAGCAATATGGAAATTGGTAAATTCTGTGTATTATGTGAGAGACGAATTATTTGTTTTCCCTGGTCGATTACAATATTCCATTTAACATAATAAATCAAAATATTTGAACAAATTTATTTGACAGGGTCTGTTTTTAAACGCTGACTGGAAAGGTAATATTCAAAATGCCCTTGGGGGCGCCCTGGGCCAATTGCTCCGGTTGACCCACCCTAAGGATGGCACTGCTACAGAATATTCAGAAACAACAGAAACAGCAGTGCATATAGAAACAATTAGAATAATTAATACATCGTTGAATCACCACCTTTTAAGTAATTCTGCAAGTTCCGGTTTACTATCTCCAGCTATCTTAATGCACAATAAACATTGAGACAATTACTCATGGTGCGTTCTATTAACCTATCATTGGTACCTGTGCATTATTTAAATTATTTTGGAAATGCTTGAACGCTGAAAGTAATTATTACTCCCATCGTCAAATATGAAGTGAATAACTGAAAATGAATATTTAAATTTAAATATTTCGTATATAATTGATATATAAATATATCAGCTAACATCACTATGGTTATTTTTACACGATTCGACATCCAACTTATTGAAGGATCGTCCGACTGCTGGAAATGTATAATCTAATTAATTAGCCCTATAATTATCAGACCGAGTGAAAGAAACGCGGGCTTTTAGGCGAATCAAATTGGCTTTATTTCCGACTCATCATGTGAAAGAGCTTTGCGTGTTATAGTTCTGTATTTTCTTGGTTTTAAGAATTTATCCGGTTTACAATGAATACGTTCCCTATAGCTAATTTACGCATTATATTTAAGCATTAATTACAATTGCAATCTTGATTGAATTTAAAAAGAAAGTATAACAATCTACCTCTTATTAATGGGAAGAACGCGAAACCTTCGCAAAATATACATACACACACACACACACACACACACATATATATATATAAAATCAAAGGTTGTAAGCATTAATTAATATTATCAAATTTAACTATCGTCATAACAAATATTACAATTTATCTTAAATGTTTAGTATAAAGTTTAGAAAGACATTTTTATAATATATTTATCTAGTATTCAACATGTTATAATTATTATTTTTTCATCATGTTAATAGTTGTTTATGTTTGCCTGCCGTCAACACTGGGTTGCTCTCATTTGTTTCTTTCTAATACATTTTGGCGTCTTGACTCTGGTTATGTCTGATATTTTATTTTTGAAGTTAAGTTCGTGATTGACAGTTAAGAATTGTTTCTATTTTTATTATTAATGAGTGAATTTTGGTATTGGTGAGTTTTGGAAATTGTTGTACAAAATATAGAAGCTGGGTGTTATGGAGTAACCAACGTCTTAACCTAGGATCATCTCTAGGTAATTTATTTGATTTCAGGTTTTTCATTTTATTTTATAAGTCTTTTTAATTTACATCTTTTAATTTTATTGTTGTGTTACTTACTTAGCTGTGTTTAACTTCTATACTTTGCCTTAAAAGCAGAATAATAATAATAAACCTATGCATTATTTTCGTCTATAATTGGACAAGTTCCCTCTGGAATTATATTAGACTCTTATGACAAGATATTTTACCTTTTTTGTTATTTAATTTAGTTATGTTAATGTTGGGGATGTCACTTACATTACCCTAACCTATACAAAAAGTTCTGAGTTTGAATAATTGTATCTATATTTCCATCTATTTTAGTGCCAATAATTCTTTTAATTTGAAATAGGTGTTGAAAAATTTAATTCTTTGTTATTCTTCCAAGTTAAGGTCTGTAAAATTTATGTTATTTAAGTTTTATAAATGGTCATCGTATTTTTATATTTGTTAAAATACAGTTAAGTTCAATTCTATAATTCCATTGCTTTGATAAATTATTTGTATTTCAATCACTAACTTGTTATTTTCCCACTGTTAATTAATTATGACCCCCTTTTAAAATAAGGCCCCAGTTTTATGCAATTGCATATTTTGTTTGAATGCAGTTTTTAAACTAGTGATTAAATATCTACACAATTCAGTGCACCGATGCAATTAGGTTAATTTTATATTGCATATTTGATGATAAATACATAGTTGGATTATTTCAATCATAAAATAATAATAATTAGAAATAATTAACTAAAATGGAATATTGAAAATAAAAAAAAATTACTGAATAAATGTTACCTTTAGCTCTTGACTTAAAGAATGTAGATTTATTTTTTTTTATCTCTCCTTATTCCTTTTAACTTCTTAATACCAGACTCAGTTTCCATTTCTTACTTTTTTTATAAGCAGTTATATTTTTTTATAATTTAAAGTGCATCGTTATTTTTAAAATATTGGATCAGCTTCTATAATTCCAACTATGAAACGGTTTTTAAAACTCATTAAAAGGATTGTTTTTACTTCTATTGCTCAAAACAAGTTTCTATTAGGAACAATTCAATAATTTTAAGTGAATACTAATTTGCTTCTACCACATCTGTTAATGTTGATAAGGTAAATGTAGATAGATTCTTTTCTTATAAAAATATAAACTTTTATATGTTTTCTTATATAAATATTCAAATGATATAAGATTAGTCTTTCAGAAACAATTTTAGAAATTCATGTATTAATTCTGATCAGATCATTTCGCTTACAATTTCAAATCCATAAACATTTAATTTACTTTGTTTAAGTTGTCAAATAATTATTTTGTTAAAAAACGTTGATTGTTTTCATTTATTACTAATTGTAAATTGTATTATTTTAATATTATATAAGTATCTCACCTTATGCTATTAATTATATGTTAATTTGTGAATTAACTATTTTCAAATTCATTAGGATTTTTAAATTTAATTTAATTAAATAACTTTTAATTTAATTTAAAGTTATAATGTTTAAATTAAATTAAAATTTATTTATTTGTTTTGAGCAATTGAAGTAAAAACGAACCTTGGTCAAGAAACAGTACTTTCCTTAAATAGTACTGAATCCAACACTCTTCATGGGTTGTTTTGATCTTTAGTGGTACAGGTTTAATGTTTATAAACAATTAAATTAAATATATATATTTTTATTTCCAGTTTTATTTATTTTGGTTTATTTAAAAAAATGAAATAATTTTATTAGTCCTTCCTCTATTTCTTTTTTATTTAAAATTGTTTTATGTAATTAGTGTCATAGGATATTTTAGACATTTTATTGCATATTTAGAGATTTTTTTTCACTGCATATTATATGTTTTGATATTGCATATTTAAGTTTTTTTTTGTTTTTTTTTATGCCCGTATCCCAAACACCTGTATCCCATCCTAGATTCTAACCACATAATCCCTGATCACCAATTTGGATTCCGCACATCCCATTCCACTATCCAGCAATGCCATCGTGTGGTAGTCTACGTTGTCTACTCTGCACATGAGACTTTCTCAACGTTGAACTGGCGTTTGATCAAGTCAGGTGCCTGGGATTGCTTTACCAACTCCGTAAATTCTTTCCCCCTACATACTTTTTCATCATCAGTTCCTACCTTACTGATAGACCCTTCAAAGTAAATCACAATAATTCCTATTCATCCCTCTTTTCTCGATCTGCTGGTGTTCTTCTAGGTAGTTTTCTTGGTCCTATCCCTTACACAGTTTATACAACTGAAATCCCAACCCATCCTAACACTGTCATCATCACTTTTGCCGATAACACATGTATTCTTTTAGTTAATAACGATCCATTCCAAACTCTTCAATCACACATCACAACCTTTGAAGAATGGTGTCAAAACTGGAGTATTAAAATAAATTCCAATAAATCCCATCAAATCACCTTTACCCTTCATCATAAACCTATGACTTCCTGTCCTACAGTATCCTTTAATAACAGCCCATTTATCCCTGTTGAACGAATCCGATACCTAGGACTCCACCTGGACAAACGTCTCACTTGGAATCCTCATACTAGACTGAAACGACAAGAAATAGCTCGACATTTCTGCTTACTCCTACACTTACTAGACACACGATCTAAGCTTCCGATTTATTACAAAAGACTCATATACATGACTATAATAAGACCTATTTGGACTTATGGAGTTGAGCTATGGGGCTTCACTAAACCATCGAATTCCTCTCGTATCCAATCCTGACAATCCAAAATCCTTCATAAAATCCTTAATGCTCCTTACTTTGTCACAAATAAAATAATCCATAAAGACCTTAATGTTCCATATGTTTCTGATTTGGCCAAATTCAGATACCCATCCTTCCATAATAAACTTCATAACCATCTGAATCCTCTTGTTTCTAACCTTGCTTTCTCTTCAATTCCTGATAATCCTCCGAGGCTTCTGAAAAGAAGATGGCCACGTGATCTTCTTTTGTAGACATATTATTAGAATGCTACCAGTGGGTAGTTTCTCAACAAGCGTTTCAATGTGATTATATTTCTGTGTACACATTTACTTGATGTATTTATATTAATATAGTTGTAAATATCATTAATAAAAATTAATAGGTGATTCTAAAACAGAGAATAACTTTAAGAGCGAAGGTTTTAGCTAGGGCCTGGTCTGAAGATTTAAATTTTCCCAGTAATAGATCATAAAAATATAAAATCAGATCTTTAAAAGATCATTAACCATATATTAAATTGTATACAGTAAAAGAGTATATTTCACTGTTAAACATGGTAAAACTGAAGAGGGATATTTAACCATAATGTTTAAAAAATTGAGATTTTTAAGAAATCACATAACCTAGTAACTAAAATATTTATATTTCTGTAGGAAATAATATTTGCTATATTTCTTGAAAATATTATCTCAGAATTCAGCCAAATTCCATTATATCTGAATCATTTCTAAAGCCAGTTGTAACATTGTTAAAGTCCCTTTATTTAATAATAAAAAGTAAGGAAGTATATTTTATTCATCAGTCTTCATCTTTAGCAACAATTTTGCTAGTAACTATATTTGTGTATTAGCAAAAGTGCATGTCAGACATTGTATAGGCCATTACCCATTTATAACTATTGATGTGACATCTATAAATATTATTTGAGATAAGGAGTTGTTTATGGGGTGCGGTAAGTATATAATACTATATATTATAATAGTAGGGAAGTGGGGTAGCTCATTAGTAGGGCACTGATCTTCCTATGCTCAATGTCCCAGGTTCGAATCCTGACTCATGGAAGAAAACATTATTTATTCTGTGTTATTAGCGGTGGGATGACCCTGAGATCAGGAGACCCATCTGGGGCACACCCAGCCTCTATGAAGTGGGTACCCTTAATTAAATAATTAATTGAGGGGGAAAACCTGGTGGTTGAGCGTGATCTCAGTCAAATCACCTCCTTGTACAATCATTGACTAAGAGACTGTATTTCCCTACATAGTACTAAACCCATGACCTTTCACTAGCCTATCTGTGAATATAGGTCTCGCCATCTAGAAGCTTTGATAGTTAGTGAGTGCCTCTTTTTAACTTACAAGGGGAAGTGAGGGATGTGGGGTCACCGATGTCAATGAAACTTTCTTGGTGATAGTAGGTCAAAAAATATTAGACCCATGTGCGAGGGTTCTTGCCACCCCTCCTGAGAGCCAAGAAAAATTAAAAAATTATAAAATTTTATAATTTTTTTATATTACTGTTTTCTGATATTGTTCTAGATGAATTTCTAAGTTATTACATATCAATTGATTTGTTTTTTTGTGTAAAATAATAAAAAAAAAAATATTACTAATTGAAACCTATTTAACAAATTCTAATGTATGATAAATTACAAAAACCCGAAGACGCTTCCATTAAATTGAGGCCAAGTAAATTGTTGTCACACAAAACAATTCAGATTTGTTTTTACCATCCACTAAAACTTAAATACGAGTTTGTTTTGAAATAAAAAATATAAATTTTTGGAGTTATTTTTCTGGGAGGATTTTTTTTCATGATGTTTACTAAAATATTAATAACTCCTCAGGATTTTCTTTTAAGTTAACGTTACTACAACCTTAAGAAAGCTAAATTATTGCTCTTCAAAACCATATTGATAACTTTTATATTTCACTCCTTTATCAGGAATAAACAGATCAAAATTCCTCCAACGTTTTATTTTTTATCTCCAATCCTAATTTATTTGCGGGAGTCTGGTTTGTGCCATTTTGTGTATATCATAGACCCCTAAATTCATTTTAAATTTTGTGTGGATTATCACAACTTTCGTGATTTTCGAAAGAAAATTGAAAGCCAAGCCTAGGCGGAAATTTTGAGCAAAAACTTTTTATTTTTCGGTAGTATCAAAATTCATATTTAAGGGTTTTTTTGAGTTGGCAAATACAAATCTGAACTTTGTTTTTCCTTAAAAAAATATTTTAAACCATTCCACTCCTTAAGTTAGTACTGATTGT